GCAAGCATACTTAGTAATCATGCCTTAAACCCTGCAGTTCTGAAGTGGCTTTCTCACAGCCAGTTCTAAATCTAAATAAACCACATTACTGAGACATCTGTTTGATTAAATTACTATTTATTTTAAATTTAAATCATAAAACAAGCTGGCTGGAAAACTTACATTAAAAGCTGGTTTCCTGTTTTGTTCTAATGCTGTACTTGAGTCTTTAAAAGTCTCACTTTGCCCTTTGCTATGGTATTTGAACTTCCTACTCTCCAAAGAAAAAACTTTCCACTTAAGTAACTGTATTTACAATACCGGATAAAGAAAATGCTAGAGAAAAGTCACTTCAGCTTTTAAAAAAAAACATTGCTAAAAACATCCTCATACCAATTCTTAATCTGTAATTAGTTGATTGATTTTCCTGTTGTGTGGGGTTTAGGGAAATATCTTTCAGCTGTGAAGCAATTCAAGAGAAATTTAATTATAGTGAAATAAAAGGGTTCGGAGTGCCATACATCCGAAATATAAGTGGGATATACTAGAATTGCTTACTGAACCACCAGTATCTAAAAGAGAACAATAGGTGAAAATTCAAGCAAAACCCGTTATCTGAAAACAAGAGGACTTGAGCTTCAGTTTCTGATCTGGACCAATCCAATTTCACTGCAGAAAATTGTCTCTCTTCAATGGAGGTTATGAAGAACGTCTTAGAGGCATCTTCATTCAGCAGGCAACCTTTTCTTAATAAAGATTGTTCATTCTCATATAATACCCTCACAAACCTTTCTTCTTAAGAAAGCCGTGTCTCGCGAAAACAAATCATTATGGTCAATAAGTAAACACGCATCTCATCAAGCGAGCTCTTTTCATAGATCACGCATAATACACCCCATCATAGTCTCTATCCTATCTACTTAATCTGTTGAAGGTTATTTCATTACGCTCTAATCCATCACACACCCCATCAAGAATAAGCACATGCTAGCTTTGACCTGAAAAGTTCTCACTCTCTTTTGTCTGATGCTGTGAAGTACATACATTCATACCTGATTTTCCTTCACATTATAAGCATACCATTGACAAAGTCTTCACCAACTAAATAGTGCAGCAAAATATTGCACTTAAAATGTTAGGGCATAATAGACCAGTTGCAGGTAAATGGGCTTCATATAGACCATGGAATCCCTACAGTATGGAAACAGTCCCTTCGGCCCAACAAGTCCACACTGGCTCTCACAGCATCCCACCCAGACCCAACCCCCTATAACGCACCTAATCTACACATCCCTGAACACTGTGGGCAATTTAGCATGGCCAATCCACCTAGCCTGCACATCTTTGGACTGTGGGAGGAAACCGGAGCACCTGGAGGAAACCCACACAGATACCGGGAGAATGTGCAAACTCCACACAGACAGTGGAGGGTGGAATCAAACCCAGGTTCTTGGCGCTGTGAGGCAGCAGTGCTAACCATTGAGCCATCATGCTGTTTCTTTGTCAGCAAAGACATGGTGGGCCTCAGGGCCTGTTTCTGCACTATATGACTCTATGACTAAAGATTGGAACATAACTGGGTATTTTACAGAGGTGCCAATAACAAAAACCAAAGAACTCAAACATTTGTTAAAAGCAAATTTCTTGGAATGCAAAATCATTAAAGCAAAGCTCAAAAGGGGTCCATTGAAAAAAAGATGAATTTTACAAACCAACCTACCATTAAAGTTTGTAAAACATTTATTGATAACATTCATTACAAGAATCAAAAAGCGAGTACTATTTGAAATTTGGTTTCATACATTTGACAAGTGTGATAAAGACAATGAAGAGGAAAAGGAGAAGTGACTGAAAAATAATTTTGCTAAATCTGTCAAAAGCCTGCAGGGTAATTCTACAATTGTCCAAATGTCATAGACTGGGCAACATTGAATATACTACTATTGTGCCATTGGTGACAACGGAAAGGAAAATTTGGCATGCTATCTGGTTCATTTATTATCATTACTTTATATATTTTTCTCCTTGAGTTCTCTGTTTAAAGGCAGGTCCAACTCACAGCAGCAAAACCTCAACCTCTGGAGGCAGGTGTTGAATTCACCCTAGCCAGAATGGCAATTGAACCCTGTGCTAAAGGCACCAATCTGAATCACACCAGTCATCTATACAATGACAGCAGAGACTCCAATTTCTTTCTGACACCTGGCTGACCAGGAATCTTACCTGCTCTTATTGCTTGTCATCGACATAATTTGTAAGGATTTAGAGATTGATATTCAAACTGTTTGGCTGCATTATGATCATGTCTGCCCTACCCTTCATGTCCTGGAGTGGGCCTTGAACACAAGGTTTCTGGTTCAGAGGCAGAGAAACTACCCGCTGCCCTATAAGACCTCCTTTTTACACCATTGCCTAATGGTAAAATACGTACCAATCAGATTAAACCAAGAAGAATTTTTTTGCAAGTCCTGAAAATTAAGCTATTCTTTATTTTTCTGTGAAATGTCATAAAACTTGAGATTAGGCAATTAGGTCACACTGTACCAAATTAACATATTTATATCCATATGTTTTCTTTCACAACTTCAAGTCCCGAAACACATTATAGACAAAGTAGTTGTCTAGCAATGCAGCGACTAATTTTCATATACAACATTCCATAAATAACAATGAGATAAATAACTGGATAACCAATTTTCTTGATATTGTTTGTCGGATACATTTTATCCAAGACAACAGAAAAATTCTTCTGCTTTTATTCAAATAGCACTGGAAGAAGGCAAAGAGGGCCATGCTTTAATCTTGCGACTGGATGTTAGTACTTTCAAAACTGCAGCACTCCTTCAGTACTGTACTATATTGAAATATCTGGATTATATCTTCAGATTTTGGTGTGCATACAAATCTACATTCTCCGACTCCAAGGGAAGAGTGTTACTAATGGGCTGAAGCTAACGTCAAAATACAAGATATTCTCACTCAAAACATTGATGGCTCTGTGACTATTTTACTGACATAAAATGTGCCGTTACATATCCAACATAGTGAGAAAAATCCAGAAGAACGTTCCATACCTGAAATTTGACATCCACTTTATTAGTAAAAGCCCTTGTATCGAGGCCTAGACTGATAACTGAAACAGGCGTAGAGCCCTTTGTATGTGTAAAGAATGCGCGTCTGACAGTGAAATGTGCCCTTAATATTGCACTGAAGTGTCGACCCAGATTGTTTGCTTTTTTTTCTGGAAAAGGGGCTTCAGCCTATGACAGTTTGATTCAGAGTGGAAATCGCTTTCTCTGAATTGAGATTGACATTTATGTGTTCTTATTTTATTAACAAAGACAACTTTTTTAAATTAAAACTACTCAAATTGCTTCATGTTAATACCTGATTATCAAAAAATATGGTAATACAAATAATCAAAGGGAAGTTGTGGAAAACGCTGACAGTAATCTTCAAAAAATTAGAATGTGCCCCATCTCTAAAAATTTAAAAATGTAAATAAAGTGTCTTAGTTTATTGTTCACCAAACACTAATTTACTTCAGCAAAATTATAAAAGAGAAGGGGGTCAGGATGGCACCTTCAGCATTAAGATTCAATGTGAATTTGTAGAGATTGCACAAACAAACTAAAGAAAAAATTTAGTAGACAACAGAGGTAAGTGAGATTTAGTCTTTGCAGGTGCCATAGAAGTAGCATATGTCAATCAAAAAAATCAAAGCAGAGACAGACTGATCATTTCTAAAGATCTAACTCAAGTATACCAGCTGAGAGCGCGATCACTGGCATTGGAATAGGGCTGTATGTAAGTGGAAGAGAATTTCAATGACGAAAAACTGCATTAAGAATGGTGTAAGATAAAGATATTTATATGTTTTAAAATTGTCATGTGAAATATACTTTTTCAGGTGCATATGACAGGAATTATGGAAATATTTTCTAAGTTGTGAGGAGATAGACCATATTCAGCGGCTAAAAGATCAAAAATTCCTTTGGGTGCACACACTGCGACTATCTCAGAGATATTCAGGCAGTAGCTCGGCATTTAAGAAACAATCGTTAGAATTAAAGTATCAAATCCACATGGAAATAAGATACATATTCAATGTTTAGCTTTCAAAATTTTATGTTATAACTTTACAAATAAGACAGTTAAATATTTTATACCACAGCAATACTGAGAATAAAAACAGCATTGCACATCCAAACTATGGTGTCAAACAGAGGCTAATTTGTGAGCAATAAAAAATGCAACAGAATCAATGGCAGAAGCAAAGCTGGACAGCTAAACAGGTTAAAACAACTTTTAAAAACAGAATCCACCAAAAACTTCCACTAGTCTTTAAATACTATTGAGCGCTGATTGTGCATCTCAACATCTGATTTGTAAACCAGTTTGTGTCAATACGGCACTCGGTTATGAAATATAGTGCCAATTACATTAGAGCACCATAGAAAAACTTTTGAAAAATACTTTTTCACCAGCAAAAATGCAATGACAACTTTACTCACATTATACGTAAGGATGCCCTTTTAAGAGAAACAAAAACAAAGTTGCTGGAAAAGCTCAGCAGGTCTGGTAGTTTCTGTGAAGGAGAAAACAGAGTTAACGTTTTGGGTCCGGTGACCCTTCCTCAGAGGGTCACCTTTCCTTTGTCTGAGGAAGGGTCACCAGACCCGAAACGTTAACTCTGTTTTCTCCTTCACAGATGCTGCCAGACCTGCTGAGCTTTTCCAGCAACTTTGTTTTTGTGCCCTTTTAAGAGAGTGGAGTGGATCAAATTATTTTTCAACAAAGGGTATATTGATTTCAAATTCATTCATTTTAAATACATTAGGAAGAATTTTCATTTATATCTCATAATGAACAACCTCAGGCACTTCCCAATATCCATGGGATGGAGAAAGGAAACAAGCTATTTCATAACTTTTTAGTAAAAAAGTGTTACCTTTAGCAGTACATTTGATATTATGGAATAAATTCTACGTTTATCCAGAAGTATTTTCCCTTTCACTAACCTTACAGGATTCCTCTTTTTCCCTTTTTTCCAGAATATCAATTTTCAACACACCTAATTTCTTCCACCTTCTGAAGCATTTAACATAAGCAAGAAAACGTTCCTTTGTACCAGCTCTTCCTGATATACCATAATGCTTGCTTATGACCTTTAGCTCTTGTCCGTATCAAAATTTCACATAGTAGCTGAATCCTCTCTCAAATGATGAGGTTAATAAATATTTATCCACGCTTTTCCCACAAGTTCACCAATTGAGCTCCAGTTAGATATATAATCTTCTTGCACCATAGGCCTGGACTCCTTAGATCCGATGTCTCCGTAAGTGCCGCAACAGATGTGTTGTTATATTTGGTTTGATCACAAACTAGCTGCAACCTGATAGCGTTTAAAACAAATATGAAATAATAACTAGGAACATACTTCCTACTGTGAAACATACAGTGTGAATTTTTAAGGTCGATAGTGGCAGAACAATTGCAAAACAAAATACTACAGTACTTAGGGTACAAGAACTTTCTGCAGTAACCTTATGCTCACTAATAGGGAGAAAATAACTGATAGGCTCACTGTTTATCTTATCAGCCACATGTTTGACAGATCATTTGGCAGTGATAAGCTATGTCCCAATGTATATGAAGAGAATTGTGTCTTTAAAAAACCCAGCAAGTTTAAAGTTATTTCCCTGGCCCCAGCAAGCAATTTTAATTTAACAACTTAAATAAAAGCAAAATGCTGTTAAATGCTAGAAATCTGAAAACAAGCACAGAGTGTTGTAGAAACTCAATGGGTCTGGCAGCATTTGTGGAAGAGAAGTGAATTTACAAATGGAGGGTGCTTTCGGGTTCTGAAGAAGAGCCACATCAGACTCAAATGTTAACTCTAGTACACAAAGTTACTGTTTTGAATCTGTTGTGGCTTTTCATGGTCATTAGATGCCTCAAAGCATTTTATATTTTTTGAAGTGTAGTCGCTGTGGTAGTATAAGGAATGCAAGAGCTAATTTTTGTATAATAAATTTGCACAAACAGCAATCTGATAGTAACCAGATAATCTGTTTTGTGGTGTTGATTGAGTGATAAATATTGGCTAAGACCCAAGGACAACTTTTCAGCTCTTCATCAAAGTAATGTTTTAAAATCTTTCACAACCTCCCAAGAGTTAAAAAGAGAATTAAATATTGGGAGTGGGTGATATAGTAGTAATGTCACTTGATTCAATGCAGTGCACCAGCCTAATATTAAAACACAATTTCACATCACACAACAGATAGTGAAATTTGAATTCAGTTAATATTTAGAATTACAAGCTAGTGATCATTTGATTATGATTTATTGTCACAAAAACGTCTGATACAATGACGTTCATTAGAGAAGAAAATTTGCCATCCTAACATGATCTGGCCTACATGATTCAAAAGCCCTACACGGAGCAGCTGCTTTCTTAAGTAGCCCCGCAACCCACTCAGCTGGATCAAACCACTACAACAGCTATAGAAAGGAATGACTTGGATGGACCAGCCAACATTAACCAAAGAACCGCAAAGGAATATGTCAAACATAGACTTGTTGACTCTGAAAAGTACTCTGAAGTCTTGTGCCTAAATTGGGAGTGTTGTCCCACAAGTTAGTCAAGCAATAGCCTGATATAGTCCTGTACAGAATAACCTTACAGTCACACCATTATCATCACTGGGTATGTCCAGTTCCACTGGCAAATTAGGCTCACGAGAGGTGCCAGTATTTTTGTATCTAGTTAGGAGGGAGTTGTGCTGGGAATCCTCAACATTAACTTCAGATTCTATAAAGTGCCATGACATCAGGTCAAACATGACAAGCATACTGATTACCTGATCCTGCTGATTACTGCATACCAAGCCCCTAACCACCTTTGATAGATGATTCATTACTTCTCCATTTGAGAATAAGCCACTGTGGACCATCAGCAGCAACAGAAATTTTTCAAACTACCATTTACCAACTACTAGCGGCATATCCTTCACTCTACCATTACCAACAAGCACAAGGAAGACGGCAGTGGTTGGAGATCAGTCATCTCAGTCCCAAGACATCTCTGCAGGAGTTCCTCGGGTTAATGTCCTAGGACCAAATATCTTCAATGGCTTCATCAATGTCCTTCCCCACATCATAAGGTCAGAAGTAGAGATTTTTGTCGATGACTGCACATTGTTCAGCACAATTCACAATACTCAGATAATGAAGCAGTATGTGTCCAAATGCAATAAGACCCAGAGAACATATAGGCTCGGACTAATAGATGACATTCACACCACACAAGTACCAGCAATGACCATCTTCAACAAGAAAGAACCTAACCATCATCCCTAGACCGTGAATGATATTACCAATACTAAATCTCACACAAAGCACCCCAATTGGATCACAACTCCATTCACTACATTCAACATTCATTTCTTCATGACACATAATGGCAACAGTATGTACCACCTACAAGATACACCGCAGAAGCTCACCAAGACTCTCTCACTGTCCAAACTCATGAGGTCTACCAACCAAAAGGACAGTGGCTACAGGAACCTGATCGACAACAAGTTCCCCGCAAAGCCACACACCATCTTGACTTGGAACTATACTACCGTTCCTAATTGTTGCCAGGTCAAAATCTTAGAGCTCCCTCCTAACAGCATTGTGGATGCACCTACCCAATCCTAGCACTTCAAGAAGGGACACTTCTCCAGTGTAATTAGGGATGGACAATAAATGTTGATCTAATCAGCAACACCCACATCCAGTGAACGAATTAAAAATAAAACTGAAACCACAAATTTCAGCCCTAACTCTAAGCCCCATTTCCTATATATCGAATTCATTCATTTTTCTGGCAATTACTTATAAGTAGGTCAGACTGTTCACAAGCTTGGCGTTACATTTAACTCTGAAATAAGCTTTCAACGTTTATGACACTATGAAGACCACCTGCTTCCATTTCTGTAAGTTCTAAGCTCATTTGTCAATGTAGTCATCATTCATGAGTTTTACCTCCAGATTCAATTATTCCAATGCACTCCTGACTAGTCTCACAGATTTGTCCCCCAAAAAACTTAAGGCCATCCAAACCATTCTGCCCATATCTTAAATTGCAATTCCTGTTCCCATACCACTCATATGCTTGCTAACTTACATTTGCTCCCAATAAATCAACCTCTTCATTTTGAGAAGAGGCAGAAATTCTCTTACAAGCAGAATAAATGTTTGTTCAATAACATCATCAATAATCTGCCACATGACCCCTCTCCCAAAAAACTGGAAATAGCCCTGATACAAATTTCATTCACCCATTTGTGCCACATTAATTGATTCCAACTTTTAATCATTTGATGTAGTCTCTTCTTGGTGTCATTTTTTTTCTTGTGTTCCTGTGAAGCACCTTGAAACATTTAATAATGTTAAAGCTACAATATAAATATATATTGCTGTTACTGTTAATTCACAGGTCTGATGAAGGGGCACATCCAAACATTAATCTGTCTCTGTATAAAGATGGATTGACCTGCAATATAAATCTATAACTTTCATATTACATTTTTCATCTCAGCAATAGCTATTCAGTTTGTGTAATTAAGATGTCATTATAACTCATTACCTCAATCTAAAGAACTAGGTAGAAAATTAAATCACATTGTTTAAATTATTTGCCAGGATGTGTGTACTGATGGCAAGGCCAGCATTTGTTGACCATCCCTAACTGTTCTGGAACTGAATGGACATTTCAGAAGACAGTTAAGAGTTAAACACATTGCCATGGGTCTGCAGTCACATATAGGCCAGATCAAGTAAAGACTACAGATTTCCTTCCCTGAAGGACATTGATAAACTAGGTGCATATTTATAACTATTAATGATGGTTTCATGGTCATACTTACTCATACTAGATTTATTTTGCAGATTTATTAACTGAACTCAAATTCTACCAGCCTGGATTTTAGGATTACTAGTCCAGCGACATTATCACTTCCATCTCTCCATGGTTCTTTCTGGATTTTATTACTGGAAAAACAACCTAACCATTCTAATCCCATTTTCCAGCACTGGTCCATAGTCTTGTATGCCTTGACATCCTAAATACTTCTTAAATGTTATGACGGTTTCTGCCTCTACCACCGTTATGGGATGTGAGTTCCAGATTCCCAGCAATCTTTGGTTAAAAAAAATTCCCTTGCATCTCTTCTAAACCCCCTGCCCCTTACCTTAAATCTATGCCCCTTGGTCATTGCTTCCTCCACCATGGGGAAAAAGATCCTTCCTGTCTATCATATCTATGCCTCTCATAATTTTATACAACTCAATCATGTTGCGCTTAAGTCTCCTCCACTCCAAGGAAAACAACCCCAGTCTATCTATTCACTTTTCATCACTAGAACTCTCTGGCCCAGACACCATTCTGGAAAACAAAACTCGTCTGCTGCCTCTCTAGTGTAATCACATCCCTCCTAAAATGTGGATTCCACAATTGCACACAATACTCCAGCTGTGGCCTAACCAAAATTTTTCACAGTTCCAGCACAACATTCCTCTTCTTAAAATCTACGCCTCTGCTAATAAAGGCATGTATTCCGTATGACTTAGCGCCACAGAGTCAGAGAGCTGTACAGCATGGAAACAGACGCATTGGTCCAACTTGTCCATGCCGACCGGATATCCTAAATTAATCTAGTCCCATTTGCCAGCATTTGACCCATATCTCTCTAAATCACTTTATCTACTTGTCCAGATATCTTAAGGGACCAGTACAAAGCATACCTCTGATCCTCAGTCTTCACAAAGTCCTACAAAGTTTTAGGTTATTATGGTTTAGAGATCTACCACAAGCTGCTTATGAAACAGTTTCTTCCTCTAGCAAATTGTTTTCCGATGCTACAGCCAATTGTGATAAGAAGATAGGCATTATCATGAGAAAATTTGTAGATTACACAGAATACTCAAAACATAAATCTTCATACTCATAAAAAGATCATAGCATCAAATGGCTTATAAATTAAATCCACTATCAAATAAGGCACACAGGGCTAAATGCCTATTGGTGATTTTACAGCACACAT